GCCATCAGATGTCTTCCATCTGGGAGGCATTAGCCCCATCCCAACATACCTGCCCCTTCCCCAAACCACAGTGTCTCTGAATATGAAAGGTCCTTAAAACCATCACCCTCTTTTTAAAGCCATCGCCACACCAGAGAAGTCCATAAATTACATGTGTCAGCTTTATCAGACCTCCTCTGAACCTTTGAAAAGATTGGTCTCTGCTAAGTCTTTTTTCAATCTGTCTGCTTTTGGAAGTATGATATACAGAACTGACCCAAGTATTCCAGGTGAAGTCTGATTAGTGCAGAGTAAAAGAGAACTATCACTTCAAGTAACTTAGAAATTACTGTTGTAAATGCAGTCTAAAAATGGCACCTGCCTTTTTTGCAGGTAAAAAGCACTGCCAACTCAGGTTAAGCTTTTGATCAACTGAAATCCTGAGATCCTTTTCCTAGGTGCTACTGCAAAGCCAGAGAGTTACCATCCTGTTCCTGTGCATTTGATTGCCCCCCTCTCCCATGCAGAATTTTACATATATTTCTTGAATGGCAATGTGATTTAGGGACAATATCATAGGAAGTACTTGATATCAAAAGATAACAGGTATGTCTCATCAGAACTGACCCAGAGAAACTGCCAAGAGCTTTGTTTTTGAGGTGTATTTTTTCCTGACACCCCAGAATATGGATAGCAGCTCATCCCTTTCATGGTGAGATCCATCGGGGGTTCCCCCATTGGACTGTTGGCACATCCTTATCACTTTTCTATCCTTTTCTGAGGCTCTTGTGCCCAGGAAGGTGGAAGTCTTAGCCATTCCCTTTTTGCAGGAACGTGAAGGTTGATCAAAACTCTAGCTCCTTAACATTGAAAAAACCTGCAGCTCCCCTTTTTTCCCGCCATAGGTACAGACTCCTTGCAATTCCCCTAGTCAACCAGGATATTGCCTTTGAACCCAAGAAGTGCACAACTCTGCACATCAGATTAAGAACAGAGCTACACACATTTGGGGCACAAAAGGGGGGATGACGAACCAGGGGCAACACCTCCAATGTGCTCTTTGGGCATTTTAGAGGAACTGCCGGTGCCTGTCAAATTGGGGGCGGGGAGGAAAGGGGGAGCCACTGCAAGTTTAGAAGGGCTTGTCAACACAGCAGGGGAGAGACTGACAAGGCAGGTACTGCTATGGGATCTCTTGAGATCCCTGTGGAAAGACCAAGGTGTATAATCTCTGGTGAACTTGAGTGTCTCTCTGTAGATTGTTTCCTGATTAACCCAGCTGAATTTCAGGGTGAACTGTCATGATGCTCGCCCACCGCACTGTTACTAAGGTGCTCTCAGAATGACTGCTGCATCATTTCCTCTAGTTTCTTCCCTAGTATCAAAATCAGACTGAACAGCTTGCCACTTCCCAGATATTCCTTTTCCCCTATTTGAAGAAGACCGGGACAACATCTGTCCTGCTCCAGTCTGGTGGCGCCTCACCTGTTCTACAGATGTGACTTGTTTTCCGCAGACTCTGAGGGAGACAGGATTCTGCAGGATTATGTACCTCTTACCTTTCCCTGAAGATGTCTGAGCAAAGCATCAGGACTTGATTCCCCCACACCCCAGCACCTTTGATAGACATTAAAGAATAATATTTGCACAACAGGATCCACAAAGGATTCCTGACGTCCAGAGCCATTTACAGCTTAACTCCACGTGGCTTCAACAGCTACACACACACAAACACACTTCCCCACTCTTCCCCCCTCCCCCATATTCTTGCCCACCTCTTCAACCCCATCATGGGAAGCTAGTTCCTCCTTCCATTTTACTATGCTGCTCCCCTACCTGAGAAAAAACCAAGTTATTTTGGCCTCTCAGACAGAAAATCCCACAAGCACCTCTTGCCCTCCCTGGCAGTAAAAATACAGAAACAACAATTGGAATAACTAACAATTTGTTGCCATTGCACAACTTGTTGCCACTGCACAACTTGCACTGCACAAGAAACAGCTGCCTGGAGCAGCATTGCCTCAGTCTAGCAAACCTCACAATTTTCCCTTTAAAGATTCTCCAGGCACCCTGCACTGAAATCACAGAAGCGCCAAAGCTGGTCCTTGAAAAAAAGAGGAGAAAAGGCATCTATTGAGCACAAAAGCCATTCCTCTTAGCCAAGAAACTGATTCCCTCAGCACCAAATGGGAGAATGAAACCAGGGTGCAATGGCAGGTAATTTTGTATGTGCTGTAGAAATACACTCTGTACCTGCTCCAAGGAACTCTTGTCTTCATTGATACTTCCAGAAACAGGAGCCAGTTCCAGAGCAAGGGACTCCTATTAAGATCAGGATTTCTATTCAGCCCAATGTGTGGCTAACCACACAAAAATACTAGCTGTTTCCAAACAGCTTAGGATAAGATTTTGTCCCTCCTACAAGAGAATTCCAGTTGCTGTGGTCATGTAAACATCTGGAAAAATAAGCACCACAGAGCCAGAAAGGCACAGAAAAAAGCATCTGAAGCAACTTGCTAACAAAGAATAGTTGAGATGTTTGAGGCTTCTTAGTTCATAAAATGCAGCAAGAATGTATATAATTGTGATAGAGAGAAAGCAGGCAGCCTCCTCCCGATCCCAAAGGTAGGATGTAAACTATGTATGTTTAGACAAAGAAGACTTACGTCCACCAGCTGTAGCACTTCTTTTGGTTCCCCTTCAAGTCACCCTAAAAAGCAGCAGTGGTCAACTAGCAGCAAATTTCAACAGCTACAATCCACAGAAAGAAATACTTTCCTTTTATTGTTCCTGAGTCTGCTGCCAAACAACTGCAGAAACTATCCTGAATAACAGTAGGAGCTTGTCACCAAAGGACGGGACTAGAAGTATGGGTTCAGATGGGAGGAACTGGCAAAGATGAAGAATACAGCTCTTAGCCATGATAACTAAGTAGAAACTCCCCATGTGGAAGCAGTCTACCTGTGAATACTAAAATACTAGTTGCTTGAACAGGGAGGGTTCTTAGTTCCTCCACTGCTTGTGGGCTCAGAGGTATCTGCTCTGTTTCTGTTTCTTGGCTCTTTACAAGAAAGGATGGGATATAAATAATATAAATATATAAGACCAATAGTCACCACCACCACCACCACATGGAGTGAGCCGTCTCTCACAGAGGAATTTCTAGGAGTAGCTAGGAACATTCCGAAGTATTTCTAAAGGGGCTCAAACTAGCCTAGAATCATGAACATCCAATCCGGAAACACTGGAGGGAGAGACAAAAAAGCAGAACTTATCAAGATGCCCCTGCATGCAGTGCATCTGGTCCAGGCAGTGCTCCACTTGAACTAGAAACAGAACCTGACAGCATATATAACCTCTAGAAGTGAAGTGTGAGGATTCCGATTCAAAACAACCCAGGTTCAAATCCCTGCACAGCTCTGCACTTCAGGGATGGCCCTGAGGAAGCTACAGATGCAACTTTATCCCTCCACACAACTCCACCTCACTGATTGCTGCAAAGTTAAATGAGACAGTTTACATAATGCCCTTTGCATCTTAAAACACTGATACTAAATAATCTGCTGAGAAATAATAACTTTTATAAGATGCTAGAAAGTAAGGCAAATGTTGCCTAGCTTGCTCTTGCCTCGTTTCCTACCCTACCTGTTTGTAGACTGACTATAGGCACTCAGCGCAGCAAACCTGCATTTTTTTCTCTTCATCCTCTCTCTCTGCTACTACTGCACAATGAGCATTGAAAATGGACAATGCTGTGAATAATAATTAGAAGAGAGGTACCTAATCTGTGAAATGATGAGTAAAGAAATAGCTGTCTTACCAAATTAATGGGAAACATCTGTTCACAATTTCACTTAAAACTAGAACTAAGGTAACCCTGATGAAATTAAAGGGAAGGCGGAATCCATTACAATGGGAACAAGATACAAATCTCACCTGACATTTATTCAGTTTCGCGCTACTTCTATTCTCACCCATCCTTACCACTCAAACTGTGGGGGGGGGGAGTGGGGGGACTCAACAACGATAGAGTTTTGCGACACCATAAAGACTAATTATTTAGTATGGCAGGGCCTTTTGCGAACTAAAGTCGGCTACATCCGATGCATAAAGTGTTACAGTTTCAGCTGCATGAGTTTATAAACAGTGAAACCTGAAGGAAATAAAATGCGTTAAGGGCAGGCAGTGACAATTATGTTACTAACATTCTTAAAGCCGCCCAAGGTTAACTGCAGGGCCCAGACACGGGCAGGGTCTACGCACTTTTAAATAGTAATAGCGGTTCTCTTGCCACGGTGGCTCTGTGACAAGGGGCGAAGTAGAGCCATCTAGGCAATTCTGAAACGGTGCAAGCTGAGACGCGCGGAGTACCAGACGCTGCGTCCTTGCGCTAACAGCGAAGGCTTTCCCAGGCCACGCGGCTGGTTAATGTTGGAGCGGGGCCATTCTGCCTGTTTTTGCAGGCCCCTCCATTGAAATCCATCCTGACTGTGTTTTGAGCAGCAAGGGCTAGTGGTCACGCCTTACCGAGCATTATCCTTGACAGCCTACAGCGGTGCGGCGAGACACCTGTTTGAGGTTGTATCTGGATTATCCGAACTCCCATCTTCCGGATATAACTCAAGCATTCCCCCCACAACATCATGCTTGCGCCCCCTCTCTACGGATGGCTCTTACCACGTCTGAGGTTTAAACGTAGCGCTTTCTCCAAAGCCAGAAAGCAAAAGCACGGGCAGACGAGTTCAAAAAGAGACCACTTAAGCCAAACCTCAGCTTTTCGTAGTTTTCCATCCACGCCTTTGCTACAAATTCACAGCTACGATATGTCAGAAAGCAAAACAACCGAGTGGCTGGAAGGCGCTTGAGAAACTATATAACCTCCGTACTCGAGAGTCGCTCCTGACGGCTGCTTAAACCGGGAAAGCCTGGAGCCCGAAGCACCCAGAGATACGGGCTGGAGGGATCGGTCCCCGTCGCGCCGCGGGCCGCTCAGGGCCAAACGTCACCGCATCCGTACCTACCTCGTCGCCACTGCCGCCTTCCTTGCCCTCCCCGGCGGCCGCCTGCCCCCCCGGGCTCCGGCTGCCATCGCTGGGGGGGCTGGGGGGGCTGCTCTCGGCGCTGCCCATCTCCTCCAGCTGGCTGGCCGGGCTGCCGGACGGCTGGGGCTCGTGGCCGGGCGAGCCGGCCTCCTTGCTGTTGCCAGGTGCCGCTCGGGCCGCGGGGGGAGGCAGGTAGCAGCCGGCCGCCCAGGGAGGGCCGTAGTAGGGCCCGGGCGGGTCGAAGTCTCGCTCCACCTTGATCTCCGGCTTGGGGCCTGGGCAGGCCTCCCCAGGAGGGACTGCGTAGGGCCCCATCACCACCCCAGGATGGTGGCTCCAGGCGTCCCCCCCGGCAGGAAAGGAGTACCAGGCTCGGGGGGCCTCGCCACCGCCGGGGTGGGCTTCCATCACCCCTCCCTGCGTCCCATAGTCAGGCTTGAACCCGAAGGCCTGCCCTGGAGTCGCTCCATTAAAGGCTTCGGGCAAGAAGGTCCCGGGTGCTTCGTGGTGAGGAACTGCAGGGATGTTGCTGAGGTGAAGGCCCTGGATGGGAAAAGGGTATGGGCGGCCCAGTTCACGGCCCAGGTGCCCCGCCATGGAGATCTTGCCTAAAGGCCGGATCAATTCGGGTGTCCAGAGGAGTGCGGCGCAGAGCTTTCGATCCGAAGGCAGCCCAAGGTGCTGGGGTGAAGGAGACCCAAAGGCTTCTCGGATGCCTACACTGAAGTTAATAGAGAGCGATCCCAAGCAGCCAAAGAGATGTTGTTTCTCAGATCTCCTCCTCCTTCATCCAGATGTTCCCTCTTCTTTGCGTCTTCAGGTCTTGACAATTACTCAAGTGACTAAATGAAGGCCAACTTTAGTCCCTCGGGGAATGACGTTTGAGGTAAGAAAGGGTGAGAGGAGAACGGATCCAAGGTAAGCAGTTCCCCAGCAGGTACTTAAAACCTCGTGGTAGATCCACCACGTCTAAAAACGAAGCTTCAAATTTTCACAGCTGCGCTTGTCTTAAAAAACGAAGGAAGAAAAGGAACCCAGAAATGCAAGCAGGTGGGAAGGAGAAAGACCCAGGAAAAGCCAAGTGCAGAAGGAAAAAGCCAGCAGAATTTGTTGAAGGCACTTCGCCCCAGAATGCACCAAGAGGCGGTACAGGAGGTTCCCAAAGGAGCAGGAAGGTCAAGAGGCAAGAAGAGTCCCAGGAACACCCAAAGGATGAGGAAAGAACCCAAACGTCCTACAGAGAGAGGAGGAGGAAGAGGAAAGCTTTCCCTGACCAACCCAAACGCTTGGTTGGTTGGTTGATTTGAAAAGGTCGCTTGAAGCCATCCTTGGGGTTGGCACGCCCCCCCAGCTTCAAGTGCCCCTGGCCACGCCTCTTCCCCAGGTATTGGCCAGAGGGAGGGGATGTGGCGGGGGGGAGAGACCCCACCCGGCCCACGTACCTCTGGGGCATGAATCGGCCCGCGGCTCCTCCCCGCCCCGGGCTTCAAAGCTCAGTCAAGGTTGGGCTCCAGGGGAGCCTCTTCCCCTCCCAAGGCCGGGCCCACCAGCTCAGCGGGCTGAGAAGCCCCGGCCATCCTTGCGCCCATTCAGGCCTAGACAATAGATCTCGGGCCTGCCCTGGGGGGGAAAAGGGGCTGGAGAGGGGGGGGGTGATGGCCGAGTGGGAGGAAAGGGCGCCCGAGTGCTTCAAAGCCAAAGGGGAAATGGGGAGGAGACCGGGAGGCTCAAAAGGGGGGACCGCAGAGGGGGCCACGGGCCCCACGGGTGGACGGGAAGTGGGCGGTGTTGACGCAAGAGCAGCCCTTGGGGTTCCTGCAAGGGGGCTCTTGGCTGGGGGGCAGTGCTGGATTACTGGGATCCCCCATGAGGTGAAAGGTGAAGATTAATCAATGATCCACAGTCGCCTGCATTGCTTACCAGTTACTGGGATTAGGGAAGAATTTCTGAAATCTGAAAAGTAATGCCTACCCCTGTTTCTGGAGTCTGAGAGTCTAAAAGTCATCAGACCAAGGTTTTTAGCAGTGTTTCACGAACAGCAGTTAGTGGACAGATGTTCAACTGGTGCAGTTTTCCATCTGGCTACAAGTTTTCCATCTGGGGAATATGCTGCATCTGGTTGGTGTTTGCCTGACATGCAGTTATTAAAGGCACAGGAACCTTGCTAAGGACAATCACAGGTGGCAACCCTATTTGAGGTGGTAAGAGAATTATGTATCAGGACACCTGGGTCTCTTGGCAAGGTGGTGGTGCTTACTGGCCAGAGGTAACACCAGGATAACAAGACCTTTTGAGAATATATGCATTCATTACATTTATATTCTGCCTGTCCTATATGGAATTGAACTCATCAGGCTCATGGTCCCCTCCCCCACCCACGCACTTTCTATTTGCAACAGCCCCCATGGAGTAGGTTAAGCTAGGAGATGATGATTGACGGACGATTATCCAGTAAGATTCATGATTAAGGTAGTATTTGAACCTGGGTCTTCCTGTGGAACCTGGCCTTTAGACCTCATGTGATATTGGTGATTTACAGCCTAAACTTATGTGGAATTTGTCATGTCAACATCCAATAATTTCACCTAACTCTGCATATGACTGGGTAGTTTGACTGTCAAGCTTTAGAAATCTTCCCTGTCCCTTGCTTTGACTTTAAAGATCTACACTCACTTATTTTTGTTGAAATGAAAAGTTAATTCACTTGATTAAACTACCTACAGTCCTGTCCTAAATATAATTATTCAGAATTAAATCCCAGGCTGTTCAATGGCTTTTAATTTCTGGAAGGTCTACTTAGAATTAAAACTTGCATCTACATTAGTATGTCTATTTACCTGGGGAAAAGCTGTCTCAATAGGATTGCCTCCTGAATGAACTCAGCAATAGGTCCTTGGTGTAACTCTATGCATGATTACTCTGAAGTAAGTGTCAGTGTTCCATGGGGCTTGCAGGTGACTGCATGCCATCCTCCGTATGTCTACTCAGGAGTAAATTCCATTCAGTTCAATTAGTCTTAACCCTTTGGGATTACAGTGCATGTTTGTACCCAGTTTTCCTTTCAAAAGGAAGCTTAAAGCATCTAACTATACCATATACTAACAATAAAAATGTAATGATGACTTTAAAAAGTTAATTCAATATCCAAAGAATTTAATTACTAAGAACAGTACAAAGCAGTACAAGCATTTCCACTTGCAGTTGTCCAGATGTCACTTTTGTAATTTCAGCCTGAGCTGCTAATAATCTGTGCATAGTATTACACAAGCTTCTGTTTTAGGATGCATTCCTGTACATGTTTACTCCAAAGTAAAACTACTAACTTCATGCAGTTCGTTAAAGTGAATACAAAAATGTAACTGTTGGGGATGAAAGAAGCTAGTCAAATTATGCATTAAGAGGGAGAAACAGTTGCAGTGCAATATCATACTGTCTGCACGGAAGTAAGTACCACTGAGTCCTGTGGGCTTACTCCTAGGAAAATGTGCATCGGATTTTAACCAGAAAGACAATTCCGCTAACTGAAATCAGTCCCAGCTACACTGAGATTATAAGGGGGGCAGTCTCAGGACACAAGCCCAATCCTGCACTCAGTCCTTGACCTTGAAGTTAAAGGTAGAAATGTATTTCTCAGAATATGCAAAGTACTTCCCTTTGGAGCTGAGCAACCACACCTTGAGACAAACATCTAAGATTACAAATAGAATTGAGGAATAAACTTTTTTAACACTGAACACCATAATGATCAGAAATACACCCAGCTGTGAAAACAGATTAGGGAAACATTGTTTTTAACGATGTTCCCTTGTGCATAAACAAATCACTATTTCTCTCTCTCTCTTGTATAATATGCTACAAATTTGCAATATGCACATCCATCATTTTAGCAAAGATGTAGCTTCCCCCAGCCATGACCAGAACTTCCTCCTTTTCTTCAGAGGAAGTATATCCTTTCCACACCTTAATAAATGCCATTCAATTTGCTTGTACAAGCTCAGCTTTCCACATGGTACATACACCTCAGTAGTTGAGGCTGCAAAGTTGGTTTGACCCCGAAATGCAGAATACGTAATGGTGAGGATCTAAGAAATTCATCATCTGGTTTAGGCTCAGTTTTAGACTATTGCTTCACCATGGCTCTCCCTTTTCTGGCTCCTGGCCTGCCTCGTCATACAATCCATTAGTAAGAGCCTCCCCTATGGCTCGGGCCCCATATAATACTGCCAGGCTCCATTTTAGGTTCTAGGGAAATGGAAGATTTTACTAACAGAGGGTGGGACCAAGACTGACAACAACAAAGCCCAGCAGCCTGTTTTGACTATGTGCAAGAATCAAATCACTAAAGAGTGCCACATTTTAAGAGCATTTGCTGTACTCCCCATCATCTTGTTCATGTTTACCAAGCCATAAATCCCACTCGGTTCCAAGGAAGCATAGCTAGGAATATTCTTAAAAAATAGTCTCCCCTAGTCTGTTATCACACACAAACGATGCCACAAAATTAATTGTTATTGTTTTAATGTATTTTGTATTCGATGTTGTAAGCCGCCCCGAGGCCTTGGCAAGGGGCGGCATAGAAATGTTTTAATAAATAAATAAATGAAAATAAAATAACGCATAATACAGGATATATCATGGATGTGATTATGCTGAATTGTTTTTATTTGGGTTGTTAGCTGCTCTGGTTTCCTTGCGAGGAAGGCAGGATATAACTATGAATAATCAAAATAAATGTGTCAGTTATATTCAGAGCCAGTGTGAGGTAACAACAAAGTCCAGTCTTGGCCATGAAACTTACTGGGTGGCCTACGGTCAGCCACTGAAGCTCAGCCTAAGCCACTGAAGCTCAGCCTAACCTCCTTCACAGTGTTGTTCAAAGATGAATTAGGGGAACAATCAGCCTCCTAGGAATGCCTTGCAAGAGGAAAAAGCTGGAGTATAAATGTATTTTTAAAGTAAGGATCAATTTAACTCCCTCCCCTTTAAAGTTTTTCACTGCCCAAACAAGGGTTGTTCTCTGTGGCAGAGTTAACCTTCTGGATTGTTCATCGTATGGATACACTAAGGGGCCATATTACCCCCTGTCCCTGCGTTATATGGTAGGACATGCCTTCCCATCACTGTAACCTTGAATCCCTCGGAAATGGCCCAGTCCTTCCCAGATAGGTCAAAGATTCTTATCCTAACCAAGGCAGACCAGTGCCGGTCAGACATTCCAGTCTATCCCCGATTGGCCTTCAGTACCCATCAGGGCCTATAAAGTGATAAAAGCACCACTGATGGCTGCGAGATAAAACCAGGGGAGTCAAGTTCTCTCCCTCCTTTTCCAGCCCACCCCTCCCCTTGCCCCTGGAGGTGTCAATGCTCTGGAACTAGGACAATGTATCAAAGGGCCTTCAGTGCTCATTGTCTTGCAAAAGAAGCTGTCAAGTTATCAATGCTCCTTGCCAAGGCCTTGATGGCTCTCCCCTGGGGTTGGTTTCCTGGACCTCTTTTCTCTCTGGCCTACAGGAGTTGCATCCCCCCCACCACCCTCTTCCAAAAGGACCCATCAGCTTCCCCTACAATGAAGCATTCACACCTCTCTCTGCTTCTGA